GCAGCTGGCCTTCGGGAGGCCGGCGCTGCGCCTCTGCCGCTGCCTCTGTACGCCCCGCGCGCGGCGCCTTCGCCCGCTGGATGGGCCTCGGGATGGCGGGAGAGCGGCCCTCTGAGCCAAGCGGCGGTCCCCGGATAAGACCGGGCAGGGAGCAGGCTGGCTGCCTCTGATTCCAGCGGGGGGCGGCAAGACGCTTTTGCCGGCAGAAGAGCGCCCGGCTGCCCGAAGGCTGGCTTCTGCTTCCCACCTGGCCAGTCGGCCTCCGGAGCTTCTGGGGGAGATTGGCCAGGAAACAGACGGTTTAACGTGTGTCTGTGTGGAGGGGGGGGGCAGGTTGTGGTCGTTCAGTTCACAAGGGTGGAGGCGAGGTCCTCGAGGCTTCCCCCAGCCAGGTGGAGGAATAAGAGGGGCTGGGGTGACCCGACCCACCCTTCTTTCTCCCCTCCTCACAGCCCAAGGCACCAGGATCTGGTGGTGTGCCATCTGCAGGGCCTCTGCTATGCAGTGAGGCTGGGTCACCCTGGCAGGTCCAGCATCTTGTGCACCAGGAGAATGGCTGCCAGGCAGAGAGGGAGGAGGGCTGCTTGGCTGAGTGGACTTTGAGGGCCTCACTGTCTTCCCTTTGCAAAGGCCTTCAGAGCCTCTAGTTCAGTTTTGCCTGCGCTTTCCTAGTGCTGTTGAACTGCAGCCCTCGGCGTAGTTCAACAGCATTAGCTCCTGGGGACGTGGGAGGCCCCTACCCCCTCCCCAGTGGCTAATCCAGACTTACTGTGGGTCTCCTAGGATCCAAATGCCTGTCCTTCCAAGCCCTGCTGATGTTGCCAGGAGGAGAGCCAGGCTCTCCGTGCACTATTCCCGCATGCAGGGCGTGAGAGAGAGGCTCTTGCCAGTTCTCTGCATTGGGCTGTGGTGTTCCAAGGCATGCTCCCTTCAGAAGAGGCTTCAGTGGCTCGGGAGGAATTGGCTCACTCTTTGCAAAGCCACCCCATGGCACCGAATTCCCGTGTGCGAATGTTGACAGCCCAGGGCTAGAGCGGCCTCTCCGCATGCAACTGCAGGATGCTTCTCTCCCAGCAGCAGATCCTGGGAGAACCCATGTATGCCGGGTTGGGCTGGTTGGACTTTTTCTCTTGTGACATGGGCTAGCAGTGCTTCGGACTCGGTGAGCTGTCCACCCCTTCTGCCCTAGGCCTGGGTGCTCTGACGGTTCCTCTCCAGCCCAGGCCTGGTTGCTTCAGCCTAGGATTTGATTGCCCCCCTCCGTCCTCCCGCCTCCTCTCCTTCCTCTCCAGCATGTTGTGTCTTGCGCCAGTTTCCTGCCTGGCACACTCTCCTGGGAAGTCTTGGGAAGAGGCTGCTTTCCTGACCTTCTGCCTGGCCCAGGACTGTCCAGAGAGGCCTTCAAAGACACCTCCCCCCTCCCTTCTTGGGCCTCCCCCATACCAGTGGCAGGCTTGACCTGGCAGGATGCTCCACCCTTGCCTGGAATGTGTGGAGGGGGGCTGCGTCGCTCCTCCTTCCCCCTGAGTGTGGAGGGAGGAAAGCCCACCTCCATTGCTTTGCAGCTGCAATAAACAGGAAATCCTCCCCCCACCCCCCAGCTCCCATTGTCCTTCTCCTTTTGGGAATGAGCTGCTCTGGGGCATTCCTCCAGCTTTAGTCAGCAAGGCTCCCTCGGCTGGCTGTCGGCTGGCTGTCGCAGCCTCCTGCTGCTGCTGCTCCCCCCCCCCCCCCCCCGCTGGTCTTTGCAGGCCCTGCCTGGAAGGGCCTGTTGGGGAAGGGACCTGGAGTCTGGGGTGGTGTGTGGAAGCCCCAAATGCTACTCTGTGGGGCAATCACTGCACTGCCTTTGGAGCTCCTTTTCTAGGATAAGAGTCTAGAGTGTGTGAACGGGGTTGGGGGGGAATCTTTTCCTTCTCCCTAACGTGTTGCCAAAGTTTGCCATGACACTGCTGTGCTCAAAGTCCTCGATGTTATCTGCTCCTTTTTTATTCATTTTAGTGGATTCCTGTATCATTCCAGTTCCCAGCAGTCTCCAAGCCTGCCACACCCCAAGTGCTGGAGATCATCTCTCACATGTGCTCCTCCTCCTCCTCCTCTATGGAGGGCCTGCTGGGTGCCAGAGGCTGTCCAGAATGGGCTTAACAGCCCCCCCCCCCCCAGCAGCAGCAGGTTCCCAGTCCCAAGACAGGAGGTAGGATCAGAGAGAGAGAGTGTCAAGGGGGGGCAGCAGGAAAGTCAGCCTTGGGCCACCAGACCAGCTAGCTCAGCGGAGGCTGAGGAGCCCTGGAGATGGCTGCCCTGCATGGGGGGCGTGGAGCGTGGCGGACAGGGATGCATGAGCACAGACTTCATGCCCAGCAGAAATGCCCCTTTTTTCTCCTGCAGCCGTGCTTGTACACCCAGGTATTGCCATACCCCACCTCTCAACATTCCCTGTCCTGCACTTCTGGGTGGCAGCCTCTGGCTCACGCCAGGGTCTTCCTCCTTCCCTGTCCGCCAGGCCTTCCTTCCGGCACAGATTCTTCCTGCTTCCGTTCCCTCGGGGCTGAGCCATGTGTGGACACACAGATCCCTGACCCAATTTAGCAGGTGGGGCAAACACACCATCGTTGCTGACCAGTTGCGGTGCTCCATACACCCAGCTGTTCAGAGGGCTGGAGGCTCCACCCCATCCATGAAAAGAGGACATTCCCTGATGTTTGCGAGGACCAATAAAAGGCAGAAGTGTTTGCTTGGGGAATTGGGTCCCAGGTTATTTAAAGTTTCTGGTTCATAAGGTCTTGCGGATGGTCTGGGAGTGAATAGGCTACCAGGGTCTGTCCCTCTGCACACCCACATGTGTAGGTGCACCAGGCTCCCAGTCAGCAGCCTCCACGCTGATAGCTAGAGTGGCTGCACATTGTGGTCCTCTGGCTGTGACCTTGCAGTGGTGCTATTCCATTGTCGCAATATCTCTCCAATTCCTCCCCTTTCTCTGATTCCCTCTGCCATCCTCCAGAAAAGGGTTCCTGCCTGTTTTTTCTCATTTCTAATTGAAGGACAACCTATAAATCAATTAAATCAATAAATAAAGGATGGGAAAGATCTCAGAAATAGGGAAGGATCCACCCAGAGGACTATTTCTTTGGGTAAGCTGAAGCAGAATCCATCCAAGTTCTGCAGCAGGAGAAAAACTGTAGAGGTGCCAAATCCTGGGACATGGGGGTAGCGGGGTGCTGGGGCATTGTCAGACCCTCTAGGTAGACCAGACTAGGAAATCAACTTCACACGAAGGCTAAAACTACTTTGAATGGCTATAATAATAGAATCTTGCGAGCCTGATTGTGGGGTACCTCTTTCCCCTTCTTATACTCCTGTGAATTAGGGAGATGTCTGTCTGAGCTCTTCTGAATATTGTCAGTCTGTTGTGGACTTAAGACATGTTTCACCCCTTGCTGCTTTGGCATATCTGCATCAAGGTCATCTTCATTACTCTCTACAGGAATGCAGGCTTGGCACGATTGAGGCTTGCAAAGCAGGGGCAGTAAGGAGTTCCTCAGCCCATTCTGAGGCCGGCCCCTGCTAAGGGAACAGAAAAGGGGGGAGGGCTGCCCTCAGGGTCAGGGCTGACATTCTGGGTGTAGATCTAGGTTTAATCCTGGAAGTTTCTCTGCGGAGGGCAGAAAATAGGCTTCTCTGGGATCCTGTGGTGCTGTTGTGGCCCATCAGAAGGAACCTTGCCGGGCAGTTTCCAATGTTCCTAGAAACCAATCACCTTTGGGGCATCTCTGGGGTGGGACTGGTATTTGGGGATGGAATGGTCAACCTGACCTGGATCAAGGCTGGTGTTGGGGTTCCTGCCTGGATGGGGCAGGGGAAGTGACTTTTCTGAATTGTGAGTTGTGATGAGACCAGAGGGGCGCTCTCTGCAGGCTAAGCCTTAAGGAGGGGCAGTGTCTCATCTCGGGGCACTAACTTCTTTGCAGGCTGAGTCAGATGTGGCATCTCTGAACCGCCGTATCCAGCTGGTGGAGGAGGAGCTGGACCGAGCGCAGGAGCGCCTGGCCACCGCGCTGCAGAAACTGGAGGAGACGGAGAAGATGGCTGATGAGAGTGAGAGGTAGGACTGATGTTCATCTGGAGATGAGTGAGGATCCTCAGTCATGTGCTTTGATTTCTGTTCTCCTGCAGGGGAAATGTTTCAGGGAAGTTTTAACTGGCACTCCATTTGGAAATGCTGGTTAGGGTTAGGGTCTCCCTGAAGGGTGATAAACCCACATGAAACTGCAGGGCTCCTGGGAAGAAACCTGTTTCCAGGAGAAGGCATCTGTAATCATCCAAGTCAGGTCCACGGTCTAGCCCCATTCTGCCTGCCTAGCTGGCTGCAGAGAGCTATGTGGGATAAGTGGAGATTCCTGGACTTGAACCAGGGCTTTTTATGCACTGAGCATGTCCCATGAGATGGGGTCAAAGGCGAGGCAGGAGCTGTGGGGACTGCAGTCGAAGCCCAGGGGACCCCTATCCAGAGGTTGGGCATTCCTAGTCCAGGTTGTTAGCATGGCAGGAATGAATGGCAAGGGCAGAGTGGGGTCATGTGTGCAGATACTGGTATAGAAGTTGTGGTCAATGTGAAGGCCAGTTCTCAAGCCCTAGGAGCTGCGGGAGAACTCTCTTGACTGCCGGTTGTTCCCCTAGAGGCATGAAGGTCATCGAAAACCGTGCCATGAAGGATGAGGAGAAGATGGAACTCCAAGAGATGCAGCTGAAGGAGGCCAAGCACATTGCTGAAGAGGCAGACCGCAAGTATGAGGAGGTGAGCCATGGCTGGGAGAGCGGGAAGGTGGCAGTGACCATGGCTGCCTTTTGGTGGTCCAGTCCTGCCCACCTGCCTGATGTTGCCTTGCTTGTCAGGTTGCCCGTAAGCTGGTGATCCTGGAGGGTGACCTGGAGCGCTCCGAGGAGAGAGCCGAGGTGGCCGAGAGGTGAGTCCGGCCAGCTCCTCCTCCTGCCCTGGGGGTTGGGGTATAGGAGGGAGAACGTGCATCAGGCCATTGTTTGGGGGAATAAGCCTGCTTCCCTCTCCCTCCCTTCCCTGACAGTGGGGGTAACACATGTGGGAGGGGGACCTGCCTCTCTCACAGCCCATTAGTTTCCCTGCTCCGTTTTTAGAAAATGTGCCAAGCCGTGGCCCCGGGGGTCCACCCCTTCTGTCCCATGAGAGCAGACCTCTCCTCCCCTCCCCCCATTCCCCTCTGCCGTGTAGGGGAGTTATGGCCAAGGGCCCAGGTGGGACTGGAAGGTAGCCCCTGCTACCCCTCGTGAGGGTGGGGCCCTTGTTTGCAAGTGGGGCACGTCTGGCATTTCTGTGCATGTTTCGCCCTTCCGCCTTCTCTTGTCCTGCTGTCAGGAAGGAAGACTGGCTCCCGCAGGGTCATTCCAAAGCGTTTTTCTTTCTCCGTCTTAATTGAGGACCTGGTCCCTAAGGTCCCTTCCAACCCCATGTCCCTAGGAAGGAGCAAGAAAAATGGTGCTGATAGGTTGGCTCTCCAGAGGAGCCGGGTCGCTTCTCTCTTCCCGTGTTGGCACAAACATAATTTTTGCCCCTTTGAGCTCTGTGGACAGCCCATCCTCGGCATGCGCTGCGGGGGGCCAGCCCCGGCTGTGTGGACCACGTGGGCATTCTCCTCTGGCTAATCCTTGCGTTGCCTCCCCAGCCGTGTGAGGCAGCTGGAAGAGGAGCTCCGCACTATGGATCAGGCCCTCAAATCCTTGATGGCTGCAGAGGAAGAGGTACTGAGCAGGGGGCTCTCTGCCCCTCCTCTCTCTCCTCTCTTTCACGCCCTTGCGCGCTCTCTCTCTCCTGCTCCTCACCTAGCCCTCGGGCCTGTCTCCTCTCTTCGGCCTCATCCTGCTGAGTTTCTCTGGCTGGCATCTGCCTTGGATGCTGCATGCCCCCGGATGGAGCCTTGGAGCCCGGCTGCTTCCCTGCAGCAGAGACGGCAAAGGGAACGTGTGGAGGGGCTGCTTAGCCCGTTTCTGCACCCCCCAGCCCAGCACGGCTGCAACGGCGATAACCCCTCACTGCTGTTTGGGGTTGCTTCTCCTGTCCTTGCAGGGAGGGCAGAGCAGTACTTTAGGACCAGCTGGGGAGGGGGCTGGGCAGACCCTTCGGGGACCCACAGGCAGCCTTCTCCCAGCAGAAGCAGCCCCTCAGCCTGCGTTGCCCCTGGGAAGCGGGCAGCAGCCTTTTCTCTCATCCTCCGTCCTGTGTGAGCAGCCTCGAGTGGAAAGGCAGGCTGTGCACCCACTGAGTTGCGGGCAGTCGATGGGGAGGGCGCTCCCCAGAGCCCCCTGTGCTGAGCCACAGCCGAGCCGGCTGGCTTGGGAGAGACTCAGGGAGAAGGTTCTGCCTGCGGATGAGAGGCCGGCCAGCTGGCTCGCAGGGAGCAGCAAAGCCCGGCGTCTAGACGGCCTTGCCAGGGACGGGCTCGAGCACAGAGGGATCCCAGCTTCTGGTGTGCCCTGCCGCCCAGGTGGCCACCGTCTGCAAGAGAGGAGTCTTCCCTGCGCTGCCAGCCGGTTTCCCTACGCCTCCGACTCCAGCCCTATGGGAAAACGTCACGGTCCCGCTTCCCGGGAGGTGTCCCCCTTTTCCTTCAACTGATTCTCTCCTCCCCCATTTCTCTCCCCTCTCTTCCTTCCTTCTGTCCTGCTACTGCCTCTCTCTGTCTGGCTGGGACACAGTAAATGTGGGGACCTTGAGGAGGAACTGAAAATTGTCACCAACAACCTCAAATCTTTGGAGGCCCAGGCTGATAAGGTAGGGGGTGGGGCCAGGCTAGCAATAGGGCGGGGCGGGGTGGGGCGGCCCCTGGAGGTGGGAGGGTCTCTCCACAGCGCAGATGCTTTGCTAGGGAATGCCTGTGGCAAAATGGGGCTGGGGGCTGCTGCTACGTCTCGTGGTTTACCCTCCTCCCTCTTTCCTCCCCCAAGTATTCCACCAAGGAGGATAAATACGAGGAGGAGATCAAGCTGCTGACAGACAAGCTGAAAGAGGTGAGGGGTTTCAGGAAACGCTGCTCCTCCTCGAGGAGGAAGAGGAGGGTGTGCGTGCATGCAGGGACTGAGACTCCTGCTCTGGGGGGCCTGCCGGCAGCGCTCAGGGTCCAGACCTTCACAGGCGGAGAGGGCAGGCTGCCGATGGCCCCGGAAAGCGGCGGCTGCAGCTTGCATGGGAAGAAAACAGTGGCCACGCTGCAGCACCCCAGCAAGGGTGCTCCCAGAGCGATGGAGGGTGGAAAGGAAGGGCCCCCTGGCCGGGGATCCACCCCAAAGTCTCCCCGGGGGGGGGGGGGCTGGAGGGGGGGGAGCCCCCGGCTTGGGGGGGCCTGCGGGCGGCGCTCGGGGTCCAGCCCTTCAGGGGGGGAGGGGGCAGGCTGCCGATGGCCCCGGAAAGCGGCGGCTGCAGCTTGCATGGGAAGAAAACAGTGGCCACGCT